GCAACATTATTTCGAACTAATTACGTAATTGGATTTCGCTAGGTGACAGTGGGGGGGTGGTGAGACGAAGGACGTGCAGTCGTCGCAGGCCACGAATGTGGATCCAAACGTGACTGTGCCGTACGGAACAGAAGGAAAACTAGTCGTCAAACGGCTCATAAATATCAACTGTCAATGGTATAATCGCACGCCGTCCGCTTGGACATTATCATCCACTCGCCATAAAGGATACTACTTAGTAGATGCAAATCGAGCACTCTTTAGCTAACGCATTTTCCGACAAACTAAACAGGAATAGTCGATCGCCTAGCAACGAAATTTCTCGACTTATCGAGAAAATTGAGAAGGCCAAAGGTCCGATAACATTATCCCATCGTAAAAAATTGTATGAGTATGTATACTACATATACAAACGTATGTATGTAATATATGTAACATGGAAATGCGGGGTTGAGGAGCCATTTATCATGTACCGATTTTTTTTTTGTTAAATTCCTCTTCCTTCTCGTATCGCGCGCGCATTTCTCCACGGGCCAAAGGTTCAATTTATAAGCTTTTCCTCGATACTCTGCAGTTGGCCGGACACGAAAGCCCTTAGACACGCTCATGAACAATCGCATTCGAATAATACACCACTTACATCTGATTCCTTCGGGCTCGCATTTGTAAGTTATCTTTGCAAATACCTAGAGCCGTGCCAACCCGATTTTCTATTTCAAATTGATTCTCTCAACAACATCTCAACTTAATTATACAGATCTCATTTTAGTTATTTTAACATTTGTTGTCTACGTAGAAATTCTTTTATAAAAAAAAATCTTACAAACAAAAATTCACAATTGCATATGTATAACAATTACAGCAATTTTGAATTAAACAACGTTCAAGGATATATTCAAATTTAAATTGCGAACAATTCAAGTATTTATCAACGTAAAAAAACCATTGCTATTTCTCCTTGTTAAATCCTGTTACTATATTTCATGAAATTGAAATTTTGTAGGTTAAATAAAAAAAAATTAATTGAACATCAATTATTGTTGAAATTGAAATAATAACAAACAAAAACAATAACTTAAGAAAAATGAAGAATCAAAATGTATATTCTAGTTATTTCGAAATAGTACTAAACTTTATGAAAAATAGTAAACACCTTGAGGGATTTAAATTTATGAAGGTTAAATTGTATGAAAACAACATTCGTATAAAAAAAAATATGATTACAAATTAGTTGTAATGTTGGTATTATAAATATCATTAAGGTAAAGCAGCAAGAATATTAAATAATTTTAAAATAATGAAGAATGTCAAGAAATTGTGAAAAATGTATAAAAGAAAATTATAACTATCAAAGTATTTAAAATTTTGAATTAAAATTTACATAAAAATACTATAATTTATTATTTACGAAAAAAACAAACGTTTTATAACCACTGATTTTTATAGCAAATCGAATGTAAAAGTTGTGTATTCCATTTCTATTTGTTATCTGCTCGGTTTTGTTTGCATTCTTTAGGATTTGTCCCTAATACGCGGCTGTCCCGATTAACCGGTGTTCCAATTCACATAAAAACTAGGTTTGAAAATTGATAAGAATGTATAAGGTTAAAACAGTAGGAAGTGTCGAAATGACTTCTGAGAAACAACGATTGCATCGACAAGGAGGAGCTGAAGAAGAAACCTAATGGCGCGCGATGTTTCCAAGCTCGGAACATATTCGATGTGATCATCGGGTGTTGTTAATCCTGGAACTATATAACTCATCCAAGGGTGCTTCGCAATTACGCACATCTTGAAGTTGATATCGCGCGACACATTTAATTAAATTCTGATTAATTCTCGTGCTGCTGAGCACGTCGTCTGCAATTAGAGCCATTATTTAATAAACATTCTGTTGATCGTTGCCTTAGCTTCATAAATTGCGTACGCGTTGATGCATCCCAATTTCCGAACGCAATTAGCATGTGACGCAAAACGCGCTTCAAAACAGAAATCAAATTTGCAACAAAAAAAACAAATCCTGGATCCCCCGAAGCACATGGAAGTGCTTTTCTCACAACCGGAGTTAATTAAAACAAAGCCCAGAAAAGCAAACAGCACGGTCAGCTTTGGTAGGTAGCGCTACCTACGCGCTTCAGAATATTAAAGATAATCCATGTAATTGGCTTCTTTTTTTCCGATCGCAAAATGTATTTTATGTATTCTCAGTAATTAGCGAGTTCGCCTTTGTTGTCTTGACTGCTGCAATATTGGTAATTTTGAAGCACCTTTTTCCTTCCTTCCTTCCTTCCTCCTCAACCCGAAGCAGACGTAAATTTTAATTAATTTATTAGCGAGCGAATGCGAAATGGAAAAAAAAACAATGAGACAGAAAACGGATGAACAGGAGAGGACGACGATACAGCAGCAAGAATCCAATTGGCATTGGTATATTTTGTTTCCGATGGTATTGTATGCGGAGCATTAATTAACTTGCATTCGATTTTGTGTTACTACAAAGACCTTTTCAATTTGGAATATATATTTCACATCAATCTTTGAAATCGAGAATTTTCCGGTTTCGCGGTTCAAGAACGATAACAACGCTAAAACAACAGCGCAGTTTTAAATTTGGAATTGAAATCGTGCATTCAATTTCCCAAAGGGTGGAAAAAGAAACTCAACTCTGTTTATTAAATATTAATTTCATCCTTCCTCGAATAAAATTTTCTTTCGACGAAAACAATGTAATATCAACCACCACCAATTTTTTTTTTATCCCTAGCTCTGACCTAGCAATACATCATATACGCAGTTGTTTGTTTTCTTCCCAACAATAACAAATGTTGCGCCTTCCGAGATAAAGAACACCCCCAAGCAGAATTTCCAAAAATATATATATATTTACAGTGTACAGATTCTACATGATTTCCATTACATGCATTAGCAGTGTAGTAAATAATTATCTGAATACTACTTTGTAATTAATTAATTAATCGAATTTTATGCGATTTCGATCAAAACAATGAATAAATTGGTTTTGCAATTAAATCAATTTCCACCCCTGCGTTCACCCATTAATCAAAATATTCTATTAGTTTCGAATGCGAAAGCATTTTGTTACATTTTAACATGTCAATTGCCACCAAAGTATATGATTACATACCAACAAAATTATTACTACATTTTTATACACGCCAAAAAATTTATATAAATATAATATTCGTGCCTCGCGTTGCGTTGTCCACTTGCGTTTCAAATCAATTATGAAGAATAAAAAAATATATACATTATATAATTTAGAATTAAAACATAAAATACGTTTCGTCGTTCATTTAATGTCAATTTTTAAGATATTAAATTTATTGATTAGTCTAACTCTATTAATCAATTTGACAACCTTTATGAACTTAAAAATAGACTCGAATTTTTATAAAGAAAATCGCAGCATTGAAGAAAACTTGCAGCGATTCTATTATAAGTATAAGAAAAATGGACCGCGTATTTCTAACTTTCAAAGCGAACTTAAAACAAAACCAATATTTTTATCGAAACATATATTTTAAATAAATATAGATAGATCAATGTGTTTGGGCGTGCAATTTTATGGATTTTATTTGTTTGTTTTGTAGCTTCGTATAGCAAAGGTATAATTTGATTAAATATTGTAAAACTTCAAATAGTCTTGATTAGCACAAAAAAAATTCTTGTATCAATTTAACAAGTTTATCATTGATTTATTTTATTTTAGTTATTAAAAATCATAATCGTGAATTTTTAATTAACTTATTCTTAATAATAATAATAATAGTAATAACATTATTTTAATCCACTTAACAAGCTAACAAAACTAGTTATGTTATGATAAATAATGATAGTAAATTGTTGAATAGCAACAATATATATTTTTTAAACTATTTAGTTTATTTTGGAGCATTTTGACCTAAAAATATCACCCTTGGGATAACCTTTTACCGTGCGAATTTGTATAGAATTGCGCAGTTCAAAATACTAAAGTTCGAATTATCAACAGTTTTATTTTTTTGCATTAATATCTTTGACTTGAGGTCATACGTAAAATTTCTATACATTTACTGTATACCATTTGAAAAATAACTTTTAATAACTTTCCTTCCAACGTTATTTTTCTATGCAAATTTATAAAATAACAACTCTTATTTAAATGTTTTGTTCAGTTTAAACCGAGAATAACGCTCTTAGAATATATGGCTTTAGGGATGAACATTTTATTTATATAAAAATGACAAGTTTTACATAAAGATAATAATGTTTGGATTAATCAAGATATTTTTCAGATATTTAGCTTGAGGTATTGTATTCGATTTCATAATATAAAATGTTTTTTTACCCTAGCAATAATGCTCTTAGGATAACATTTTATGTAAATTATTATATAAAAATATGCTATAGAAAGAGTTATAATGAAATAAGTTTATCAATTATTTGGCTTGATGTTCATAGAAATGTATTTAGTTGAATTATATTTTTTCTTCTTCATCTTTTCATTGGTGTCGCTATTGAAGTATGTGATTTTGATAAATTGTAGACTGGTGAGGAAGACACGGTTGAAGGTTTTGAAAGGTTGATCAGGATGGGTCTTGTTCGGTCTTGATTTAGAGATGGTGTAGGAAGGACCGAGGGGGATAAGCATTGATTGGAGCCGGCGGAGAGGAGAGTCCGAGCATCCGCAATTTAAACACCGGATCGGTCGTCTGGTTGGACGTCTCAGTTTGTGTAATAAACTGGCCGATTATTCAAATTGGAAATGTAAAAATGGAAATGTCAATGATCGGTCGAGGCCGCTATTGGGACATACATTCGAAAAATGTGTGTGTGTATGAAATTGCGTTAGCTCTCACACGGTGTTCGGAAGAATGTGCTGAGAGGTATCGGTGGATGTATCTTAGGAGTCCCGGAGGGACCATCAGCTGATCGGAAAGGAAAAGTTGGAAAGAAGGTGAAAATTTTAAAGATTGAGACTGCCCTTTGAAGGGACTTACCTTTTCGCGGTCCAGCGCGGCCGTCGACGTCTCCTCGGTACCTTTCTGGCAGGCGTGCCTGTTGGAGAATCGGATGCATAGCTTGTGGAAACAAGAATGGCAATCTGGGGAACATAAAGATGCGCACATGCAGCAACACGTCAACTGGCAATTGCAGAAGAGCGAGTGAAAAGAGGGTGTCCTGGCGCAGAAGGCAGTGGCATCGCCGTCGGCAAGCGGCAGCGTGTTCAAGGAGCTGGACGTTTCGCGAACGACAAACATGTCCATGTCCACATCTCTGCCAGAGTAGTCGGAGATGCTGTATGACCGCGGCCTGGACTCTGGGACCGGGCTGACACCGCGAAGCATATAGTTCTCGGAGTCTATGTTTATGTTAACTACAGAGTGAGGACGCACGGTTTTCGAGGAGTCGGTGGTGGTAGTCGGTACACGAAACCGGCAGTAGATATTTTCCATGACCGGTTGCTGCTGCTGCTGTTGTTGCTGCTGTAGTTGTTGTTGTGTTTGTTGTTGTTGTTCTAACGCCTCTCTGGGCTGGATGCTATCGTGCGACTCCTCACTCATCCTCTATCATTCTCAGGTTCTCTCAAATAGTGGATGAGAATGTCGGAAGGAATCACATGCACAGAAATGGAGAGCCGGCCGGATCGGGATCGGGATCAGACCACGGGGCACTCGTGTCACATTATAATTGCGTGTATGGGAGGAGGACGCGACCAAAAACCGACCTACAGCAGTAGCCTGATCATAACTGACTGATGTCGATGTGGCTCGAGACCGAGACTATATCGCTTTCACAAGCCGAACTCCACACGATCAAGAGCCTGCGCACTCGAGGTCGTACGGAACGGACAAACCTCCTCCGACCCGGACCCCCCTCGACCCACCTAGGATCCGCACGGACCCGCGGAACTGCGATCCGATCCCGCACAGCTGTTCCGACCGTCCATCAGACCCATCCATGTACACACCTTACCACCTTCCCCAACCACCGAAACCAACTTCCATCCGACATCCAATATCCGAAAAATCCATGCACGCATTCATGCCACACCGCGTTTCATTTCAATACCGGCCGAAATGGCCTTGATCACGACACGCGGTTCTCGACGCCGACGCGACAACCTCTCAGACAACACGAGGTGAATCTCAACACTCTCACTCCTCAACAACCCTGTCGCGCCAAATTTCCAAAAATAAAAACTTACATACATCTCAACCATTATACTTAACAATCCAGGTCCATCATTTTCATAACCTTACAGTACTCCCCAACCTGATCAAAACCAACCCTAAACGCATCTCTTATCCTAATACCAAAGAAGGCATTGGATCTGATTCCTCACACATTTGAATAAACCAAATTTTAAAATGAACATGTATTTTTCATTAAAACCGGTTACACGTACCAATAATATAACTTTAATCATTAAATCACAATATAAAATTCCAAATGTTGTTACCTAATTACTAACGCCTTTAAACTCAAAATTCTTAAACCAGAATTATCTGACACGTTCAATGATAACAAAATTAATGATATATTCTCAAATGTCAAGGATCGATGCTTTTTTGTTGAATTCTGTAAACTGTACGCTAAAACTCTATATTAAATCAATATAAACGTCAATCTTTAAATTATTTATAAGGAATACTGTATATTTCCAATAAAGTTAACGTAAAGATGAAAATGCGGACACTAGAAAATATTATGCTTTTAGATATGCTCTTGTTTTATGGGTCGAGAGAGAACTTTCTAAAGGTCGTCACATCGAGGAGTAAATATTTTAATTTCGAGATAAAACCACGAAAATAAGAAGGAATAAAAAACGACGATGAAGTAGAAGAAAAATACGTAGGTGTGCACATCGTGCAGCGCCATTTTGCCACATATTTAGGTTTATTTCACGTTCCTGTGACGAGACGCGCTCATCACCTGGCATTTCGCGCTTCCAAATGCGCTACAATCTATTTCATTTTCCGCGCTCAACGCGCCGTTTCAACCAAAAGAAAAATGAATCGATGAATGATGACTAGACATTTTTTTTCACTACACAAAAAATATCAATAGAAAATAAGTATATATTGAAAATGTATGCAATTCACGTTTATAACATCAAAATTAACTTTTGCTATTTTTAATGACATTCTATATATATTGAAATAATGTATACAGTTTTAAAATATTTTTAGAATGAATAAAAGTATAATTTTAATTACAAACATATAGAAAAAAAAATGACCTATGATCAATAGCCCTTTGCAATAGTTGTTTGATATTTTTATTAATTAAAATCATTTCTATATGTATTTTATAAATAAATATTATTTTATTCATTAAAATTCTCAATTATTTTATACATTTATGTTTATATAAACAATACAATTAATTTGTAAATAATATTTATTATAACATTCACATAATCAAATATAAAAAAAGTATTATATAGTCATAATTATAAAAGAAAAATGATCAACTGTAGAAAAGGGATATTGACCGATTTATTATTTAGTGAGTGATTGTTAAAAATTTAATTGAATAAAATAAATTATTGATCGCTGAACTCTAATTTTGGTAGAAGTAAAATTTCGTGTGCAAAAAAAAACGTGAAAATGGATGTAACGAGAATTCTCGTCAGTCCCGAAACAAAAGCATATTTAATAGCAGTAAAAACGCTTAGTCTTAACGTGATCCGGATTAGTTAAGTACATTGGAAGTACGAGGGGATGTTTACTTAATCTCTCTTGTTTTCCGTACGGCATTCTCTCCCTATTCCACATGCATACATATATATATATATTTCTCCGGTACTTTGTAGTAACATAAAAATAGACTAAACGAAGTTAAAAAAATGATTTGCCACTGCCTATCGTAGCACAGGGGGTGTACGAATTAGCCCATTTCCTTCCGCCGTGAACAAGAGGAATCAGAAATTTAAGAAGTCCACGCCATTATTCATAAACACATGCAACGCGAGGTCCGCATTAGCAGCCATAGTCATAGCCATCATCTCGGGATAGCCGACATTTATTGCCGTAACAAATCTTCAATTTAGCACGCCACGAACAGCGCCAAAATAATAGTGCACACATAAAGATAATCGTATCAGATTTCCCTTGATTGTCATGGTCCAAAGCTATGTATACAAAAAAAAAGAAGAGGAAACTGGAAATGGAAAAACGGGGCCGGTACTTTTATAGCCCCCGGGTTCTATTATTAAAATTTTATTATGTTTATTTAGCGTTCCGAGGGGTGCCCAAAACACTCGGCAACGAATTTCGGTTTTTTTTTGTTTGTTTCTTCGTTTCCTTTCTTCACGGGCTTAACAACAAAAGAAGAAAAAAAACAAAAATCTGCCGTACAAAAGAGGAAAGAAAATAATAATAATATAAAACGAGCGGTTAAAGCAGTGTCTCTTAAACTTTTTTGTCTTTTGCACTTACAAATTTTAAAGAATAGGTATGTGTAGACCCGCACTTTGAGAATCACTGGGTTAAAGCATTAAGATTTATACCACTGGTTCCCAACCTTTTTGTGCCAGAATTTTAGAAAGGCTTTGGTGGAACAACATATACCTAATAAGTGATACGGTTAAACTTTAGATGTGTCCATTTTCTCAACGTGGGGCCAACGTTGAGAAAAACTGATTTATACAGTCAACGAGAAGATATTTTTTCTTGCTTTATAAACGGAACAGAAAAGTTTAGAAATTTAAATAAAAATTATTTATTTTTATTTTGAAGATGCTGATTATGTATTTCCACACCTTTTCAAATGTTATTTACATTTACACTAAAACAAATAATGCAGACAGATTCGATTTGTGTTTATATAAAAGCAAGCGCATTTTTCAAGTACAACGAAAAGTAATCCGAAGAATGGACGTGATCTTTAATAAAATAATTGAACGTCGATATTGGACGTCGTCGGTTTGCACCAACCATCAATCGTCGATGTTTGTGCAAACAGCGGCGACTCGACATCATCCGTTTTCATTATTATTATTATATGACACATTTAAATGAAACTCGAGATCTGCAATATCTCATTCGGCACAGTCAGCGAAAACGAATGCGAATTACACACATTAGCTGGATAATTAATTCTCGAGAAATCCGAACACTTAAAGCGTAACAGAAATAATAATAATAATATTATTATTACGGTGATTATTCATAAAACAGCAGAAATGACACGCGATGTGCTCCCGTTGACGGACGAATTTCAAACGACACTTCTTTTTTTTTCTTCAATACTATTCAATTTCCTTACTTGCATTATATACATACATCAATCAACTTTATTTACGCAATAAAAAAAAGTTTTCATCATTAGCAAATTATTTGCATTAACCTTTCCAAAGACATATTACCCAAAAAAAAAGCGTTGACAACAGTATTACAGTCGATTCCGCTTAAGCGGGACTAGTATATTTGTCCCGATTAAGCGTTTGGCCCAATTATCCGAAGTTCCATTTTCATTTGTTATTTGCTCGGTTTTGTTTCCATTCGTTAGGATTTGTCCCGATTAAGCGGAATCGACTGTATTAATATGCTTACAATAATTTCTACCAAATTGTTAATTTGAACTAATTTAACGTTTGGGATTCGATATAAAAATATTGAAATATAAAAATCGTAATTAATAATATTTATAATTATATAAACATACATTAACAATACAACAAGTTATTTCTAAAAAAATAATTTTATAAAGAATCGTAATATAAAATTATTCATGTTTCTTGAATCACAGTTATTTTATTTGTTTGATTATATTAATTAACATTAATCAATTTTGTTGCTCCACTAGAAATTGTTTGACAGCTTTGAACTCCTTGCATCCATTTAATCCGATGCATCATCTTTAAATAATAAATGCACAAAGTGCTTATGAATTAGATATTAACATTGAATTAGTTAATTCTCAAGTGAATTCGTTACACCTAGTGAGTAATATAAAATTAAGATTATCCATGCTACTCTAACCATATTATATAATGATATATGTTAATGTATGTTGAATTAAATGAAATTAGTTTTTATAATGTTTTTCGAGTTTTTTTTTTAATCATTTTATTATTAATAATATGTTTTATATTTA